CGAGGTAATTTAAAAACTATAATTTATATACTTTTTGTATTACATACTTCAGATACTCTGCATGTTATATATGCAATATATACATCTACAAATACTATAATGGGCACTGCTCTAATGAGCTAGCGTCTCTTGTGCCATCTACAAAATTCATTCTCGTGTTACTCGTCATTCAATTAAGTCTCATCCTTTTTCTGTTACTGTTCCTAAGTGTTCCAAAAACTCTTATTCGTCTAGTTTTTTTCCTTGAACATCATTTCTTTGGAATTCGCTTCCTTCATCTTGCTTTCCTGATTCATATAATTTGCAATCTTGTAAGTCGTCTGTCAATCGTTATCTTGCTCTTCAATCTTCATCTTTTCTCTTCCAGTAACTTCCAACACTAATTAGTGGTTGCTTGCAGCCTTGTTGGAAGCGAAGATGTTTAAAAAAAAAAAAAATATGCAAGAACTGACATTATACTTAATCAGTTAACATCATTATGCCTAATGGGTTAGGCAAAACCATATTATTTATTAAAAGATATTGGATTCTATCTATCAAGAGTTTATTAACTTAAGACAAATTAGAGGATAGTTAAAAACATCAGAGTTTTCAAAAATAGTATTTCCGATTCTTCTGCCATTATTAAAAGGTTTTGTAAAAGATTAAACAATTTGTTTTTGAACAAATGGAGACTTACTTCTAGTAGGTTTCTTTGTATATAGTTTTTATCAATTAAACAATATTGATTTGCTTTTTAAGTGAAAACTTGAAGAAAAAAAATTAAAACTATTTTTTAATAATTTTCAAAATAATAATCCCCATAACTAAAAAAAAAATTATTTTAGCTTCTCAAGATCGCTGCAAAAATGTTATCTGTCCGAAAATCCATTCAAGTTGTACAACAGTTATGGTTGTTGGATCTTGTTGCTCATTTTGTGGTAAGTTATTTTGCTTTTTTAATATTTAAATTTAAATTTAGCATTGTTTACAATTATTAAATATTTATTTTAGATTTTTATCTTATTTTTGTTATTAGTTACAACATGATTTTGAATCTTTCATAGGTTCATTTTTACGTTTGTTGTACAGTCAACCAGAAGTCATTCTACATCGGAATTATATTCGCTATAATGCTATAACAGTTGTCGAAATCATTACTAACTTACGGCTGTTACTTAAAGCAGTAAGTTTAACAATTTTATTTATGTTTAAATTTAAAATGGTTTTTAAAAGTCTTATTTGCTTTCTTACTGTGCTTTAAAATGAACAAAAACTTAACAAGTGTTTTAAATACAGAGTGCTTGCAACTTACATGGTCATCTCACAGTTGAAGGAGATATACTTGTTATGTTTTCATCCACTGAAGTTTCGCAGCGCTTGCTTCACATCTGTACGTTTGAAGCTCAAAGATTTAACAAATACATAAACGAAAAAAATCCAAAGATAACATCAAACTATTTCTTGTCAGTGCTTAAATCTTCTAGAATAAAAAGCGCAACTTGGAGCGCGGAAACAAATTCAGCTGTTCTGATAAGTAGAAAATATTGGCATTTCATTTTACTAGCTATAGTTTCAATTATTTTTAACAGGTAGCTCTTAAACAAATCAAAATAGATATTATTTATACAGGGAATTTCATTATAGGTGTTTTTATACTAGTTTTTTAATTTGTTTTTTTTTTAAAAAAAAAGATGTATTTTCTCCCAGCTTGCGTTTGTTTGCGTTTATTTTTGTTAATTTTTCAAAAACTAGAATAACCTCTTAAATTAGCAAGAATTTTTTTTAAGTTTTCTACAATTATACAGTTTTATACTCCAGCAGGTGTTATCGTTAATTTGTTAAAGGATTTCTGTGAAAAAAAAAGGAAAAACTAAAAGTGTAAATATTGTACATATTTTTATATTTAGTGTAGATAAGTTTTATGTATATAAAGTGCAATGAAAAATTTAAAAGTAGTTTTTATATTGTGTTGTTTTTATTGCGCCTACTTGTATGCGTGCTTTTAAAACCATATAAGTATGTTTAAATATTTTCTTGTATTTTAGTCCTACTTTCAAATTTTTCTAATAAAACTTCAACGATCAAAAATCAATTTTAAGAACCTTTCCATTAATGGAAATATCTGGGAAAATAAAATACCCTTTTTAATGGAAAGTATTTCCATATAAATTGGTTAAAATATCACTCATAAAAGATCTCCTAATTTTTGAAATTGAATTTTAATCGTGATTTAAAAATTAACCATTTGTATGAAAATAAGTTCGAGCTAATATAAAATTGACTATACGAAAGATCATACTAAACGAATTATAGAATTGTAAAATTACAGGTATGACAACCACAAAAAATCGTGGATATACAAAATATGCACTTAGCATCGTCCAAAAAATCTTAGATTCTAATAGAGTAATCAAAAAAAAACTGAGTTTTTTTAAACTAATAATTGGTTTCCATGTAGCACTATACAGAATATCAGTATTTTAATTAGCCATTTTTTATTGTTAAAACTGCATTATCTCAAAATCTATAATGCTTTTTAATTTTCTTTTACCTGGTTGCATACATAATATAAAAACACACTATTGCTAAAAATTTGGCTGAAAACTGATGACTACAAAAATTTCTCTGATGTTTTATTTTCGGACTACTACTATTTTTAATCTGTGCAAACGATTTAAGTAAAGGTTCCACATTGAAAAGTATAATGTTTACTAATGATGCTAATCTTTTCTTATCCTATACTTATATTTATTAACTCTTTTCAACTACATACAATCACGTTTTTAAATTGTTCAAAGCTAATAAATTAACTTTAAATATTAACAAAGCAAAATAGATTATTTTTCACTCCTGCGCAAAAAAAAGTGTTTTACCAAATGATATGCCTCAAATTTATATTAGAAACTATAATAAAAAGAGATACTTTTAATAAAAGTCTTTGGTGTTTATCTTAATGAACATCTTAATAAATATTACTTAGAGAAAATATATTGATCATGTAAGCACCAAAATTTCCAAAAATATTTATACAAAGCTTAATTCTAACTATATTATTAAATTTAATCCAACTCTATTATTCATTTATACACAATCATATAAATTGCAATCATTATATAGATGCATTTATAGGGAAGTACGGAGAAAAGTAAATCCCAATATCTTTATCTATATAAAAAATATTATTTGAAGTCATTGAAGTCTCTGATATACATATGTACTTGCGCGCAAAAGTAACATAACTATTTTATCCGAGAGACAAATTAATAAACATGTTAGAGATATTCTGATTTACGTAAAGGAAAAACATTGTACAAAGGAACAATAATAATAATCATTAAGGAATAACAAGTGGGTATCTGAATCAGAAACTCAAATAATTTGAGTTTCTGAGAACAATTTATGTTGAATGTTTTCATAAATTCTGATAGTAATAAAGAAATCGTAACTATTAAAAATTTTTAACAACAAGAAATTTTTTTTAAACTCATTTTAAATAATTGGTTACTCGCCATTTGGTAATGCAACCCTGGCAGTAACGAACGGGCGGGTGCCCAGGTACCCGTCAACAGCCTTGTGAATCTATATTTTGTTGATGAGGCGTCGAAGACTAGATATATGTTATTATGTTTTCCAGTATTTGACATAATAATAATGAAAATAATAATAAAAATAAAAATTTACAATCTTTTTTTTATCGTATAATAGGATTTCTTAGCCATTATTTAGTATTTTACGTGATTTGTGCTAGTGATTTATGTTTGAATCTAGCACTTCTATAAGTTATTGAATTTGTTCCAGTCTTCAAGAACACCGCATTCTAGTCATCGACTGAACAAAAATGTTTCAATTTGCTAAGGTTTTTAAAGAGTTACTTTTATAAAGTATTGTTTTCTTGAATGTTATGATTGCTACACAATAGTTTCCTTGGGACATTTATTAATGTTTTGTAAAGTTCTGTTTGCACAAAAATTGGAATGTTGCTACAAGAAATATTCCAATATTACAAGAAATATATAGACGAATCATTCACACGTGTGAATGAGATATAATATTGTTTTAGATCTCTTTAATCTTTTTGATATTTTCATCCATTCATTTCAATCCATTTGTACACGTGATGTGATGTTGAATTACTCAAAGTGCATCAAAGTTTTAGATCAATTTAAGGTGGTTGTACAGTAATAAGAAAAAAAAATTGTATTCAACTTTCACAAATGTTTTTTTTTCTACTGAAAATTTTTCTTTTAATTCTTTCTACTAAGCTAAAACAATTTTTAAAAATTTGAAAATTTTATTTTGATTATTATTTATTTATTTATTTTGAGCAAAGAGTTTTGTCATATATTAAAATTTACAATGAAATAAATCGTGTTAATAAAAGAACTGGAGCGAGCAGAAGACATAAATTGTCTTATTATCAAGCCCCATCTAAAATTTACACTAAAAAATCGTCAGTTAATATAAAAAATGAAGAGTAGCTAAGTACATAACAAGAATTTTAAATACATTAGTTACAATATAACTTATAACATAATATAAATATTAGTGTTGAAATATAACGCATTATATCAAAGGTTAACAATAATTTAAAAGTATTAAAGTTTTTCAACAAAAAATTAAATTAGATTAAAATTGCAGCAAAAGAGAAGTAGTATCAATAACTATTTTTTTAGATAATTTATATTATTTGTGTATTATTTTTAAAAGAGATATTTTAAATCAAAGTCTTTTTGTATTAAGAGATTCTTAGATTCTTTTCTAAATTTTTCCAAAGAGATGTGTTGAGCATTATTACTTTTTGTGATAAATTTTGAAAAATGTTTCCATAGAAACGGTCCGTGGTATTGGATTTTGTAAGAATTTAGTTTTGAATTTGTTTTTGGAACAATAAAGTTATTAATTGAAAATTTAGTAGGATACTTGTGCGAGATTTCACTAAAGTAAGACTGAAATACAATAGGAGAGAGTTCATACTTAGTTTTAAACATGAATTGTAGAACTTGGTGTATATTAAGTTTATAGACACTTAGACACTTATTTATTAATCAATAAAGGTCAAAAAATGGGGTAAAGGGCGACGAAGATTTTTCAGCAACCATTTATATTTTATGATTGAAATTTTGGCTGGTGATATATAATATGTGTTATTGTGTCGTGGACTAAAATATTTAAGATAGGTCCAAAACTTGATAAAATATCAGCATTTTTGTAAATTTGGACAAAAATAGGGTAATTTAAGAGTAAAAAACTTTAAAAAATACTAAATGAGAAAAGCAGTAATGGTTATTCTAGTGTATGTTGTAAATACTAATGCAATAAATAAGTGGGCCAAATTTCAAATCAAATTTGATAATTAGTTTTAAAAATATCTCCGTCGCCAGCCCATAAAATATGATAATATTTTAAAAATATTTTGAAAAAAATGCAAGTAAAAAAAAAAAGGAAACACTAAGTTCTAAAATCTTCACTTTTTTAAACCAACTAATGTTTTATTTTAATCATAAAACTATTTTGTATTTCTAATTTCATTTTTTTTTTTCGAATTTGTTTTATGGTTACATTGCTTTTCTGCTTCCGAGACTTGTTTAATGTCCTAACTTGAACTCCAATTTTGCCCATTATTACTAAATGTCATTCCAAACTCATTAAAAAAGATATTTCAAAATTGATGTCCATCATAAAATTTAGAACAGCTGATCATACTTTAATACTTAGAGCAGTTCTTTCAACATACAGTTTAAACATCTCGTATAACTTGATTTAGCGATTCATTAGAACTCTGTTTTTTTCTATCTAAACATTTTTCAGGAAAGTTATCAAAAGAGTTATTGGTTAAGTATTGGTTTGATAGTGTACACAACAGCAAGAATAAAAAAAATTAAATATATGTCATTTTTCCAGCCAATTTTCAAGACTAGAATTTGTACCATTAACCTTTTGATGTACATACAAAACTGATGGCAATCTTTTACCCTATTCACAAAATGCTAAAGGTACGCGACTATCGCGCTTTACGGAACCGAATTTTGTGCTAAAATTTTGTGCCTCGTTTTTCGTATTTTCTTCAAAGTTAGCGTACTTGAGGAAGACTTTGTGAAATAATTATTTAGTATTCGTTATCAAAATAGATTATTTTTAGAAAGAAGAGTAGTTGAAGCATTAGTTCGATTTGTTTTTCATTATACTCATTTGATTTATTAACGAGTTTGTTGATGTCAAGATTTTGGTTGTACTTCTGTGTTGAAATTAATGTCCAGAATATAGTCTTTTTTTTTCTATTCAATTTTTTTGTTTAAGTTATTCATTTATCTATGCGTCAGCCAAATTTCGTTAAAAATATTTTGTAGCAGTCACCCTATTTCTTGCTGCACTTTTGTTACCTAATTTACTTTTTCCCTGATGTTAGCGCGGGAGACAGAGGAGTCCATTGATTACTTTAATATATATTTTTTTATATATATAGCATTCATATTAGCAATATTTGGCTTATGTTATAAATTGATATTATAAAATAATTCTTAATAAATAATAAAATAAGACTTAGATTTTATATTTCATTTAGAAATAAAATGGAGAAAGAAAATAAAGGTTTCACATAGTATTTCATATAATATTCATATATATATATATGTATATATATATATATATATATATATATATATATATTATATATATATATATATATATATATATATATATATTTATATAAAGTTTATTTAATTTTTGTTTAGATAAAGTTGCTTCAGAGAGGATCAGTCAGTTATATTCCTATTATATGATTTAACATTTTAGTATTTAGTCATTTAGTATTAGCTTCACTTACTGCGACAGAGACATTTAAAGAGGAAACAGCTAGTGCAAGGCTTCACAATATAGATAGTGAAGAAATTCTCCACTATCTATATTGTGAAACAATGTTTGCCCAAAATTAACCACTAAAATAAAAAACAAACAACTTAAAAACCCATGGATGACAAATAATTTGATAAAATCATGAAAAACAAAACAAAAGCTTTATATAAAATTTCTAAAATCAAAAAAGGAAAATGACGAAAATGCGTACAATCTTAGTAATAAAAAGTTTTATCAAAATAACTAAAAACAAGCTAAAATAAAATACTATTCTAACCAGCTGAATAAAAATAAGTTTGATATCAAGAAAACCTTGACTATTATAAATGAAGTAGCTGGAAGAGAGAAAAAGAAACTTTCTTGCTTACCAAAAAAAGTGATTATTTACAACAAAACTATAACAAGTGAAAAAAGTATATGTCAAGAATTTAACAATTATTTTGTTAATGTATGCGTCTCTCTTGCATCTAATATTGTTCAGTCAACTAAAGTGTATGAATACTTGCAAGAGAAAACCGCGACTAACATATCTAATGAAAAAATTAATAAACACGAATTTAACAAAGCGTTATTTGAGCTAAAGCGTAACAAGTTATGTGGATACGACGACGTTACCAGTAATATAGCTATCTATGTTATGGATAGTATAAGTAAACCATTATTTTATTTAATAGCATTTTCATTTGAGAATAGTATATTTCCTGATAAATTATAATCAGCCAAAATTCATCCAGTTTTTAAAAATGGTGATTGTTCTTCTGTTTGTAACTACCGTCCTATATTACTACTCCCTATATTTTCAAAAATATTTGAAATTATATGACATTAAATAACTTTTATACAAAAATCAATTTGGATTTCAGAAATACTTCTCAACTGAATATGCTATTATTGAACTTTCCAATAAAATATCCATGTCCTTTGATAAAGGGGAACAAGTACTGGGAGTATTTATCGATTTCTCTAAGGCATTCGATACTGTTGATCACGGAATTTCGCTTTCAAAGCTATAGCATTACGGCATTAAAGGCCTAACATATAGGTGGGTCAAGAGTTATCTTTTTAATAGAAAACAGTTTGTTTTCCTGGAGGAATCAGGAGCTCTTGATATTGTTTATCAATTTTAGAACCTTTAGGCCCGTCATTATGGAATCAATTAAAAAATAACAATATAAAAAATTTGAAAAGCACTTTCTCTTTTAAACGACAAATGAAACTGCATCTCCTTACTTTCTGACATATATGTAAGTATGTTTGTATATGAGTGTGTTTTTATGGGTAAATGTATATATGAGTATATATGTATATATAAGTTTTTCTTTATTCTTCACGTAGTATTTAACAGATAAAATAATTGTTGTAAATTTTCTAAAGCCATGCGGGCTTTAAATGATATTGTAAAGATATGCGGGGTTTAAATGACATGAAAAGATTGTGGTGACACCAGTCATCCTTATCTTCTTTGAGCCCCTTTGTCTGTTTTATATATATTCTTTGTGTAATGTAAAAGTTTCATTGTAATTTTATTATTTTAATTTTATATAAACAGCGAAATATAAATATATAAAAAAAATAATAATCACAAGTAAGACGTTTAATATACGTATAAGTTTAATATACGTATTTGCTAGACTTGGTTATAAAGATGACATAATTTTTACAGCCAATTGACTTATAATTATAGCCCCACAATAGTAGTTGCATAATTTTTTTAGTAGTATATATCCAATTATATAATAATTTTTGGTAACAGGGGAAAAAAGCATTAGAATGCTTCTTCCCTTATGACATATTTGGATAGGCCCTCCCTTATACTTCACTTTCTTATGACCATGGATGCACCAATAATGTATCTTTTAATCTAGTGGAATATGTTTTTTACTTCTTTGTTGTTGTACTTGATATATTCAATCAGATATTTCAAGAATTAAAACATTTTTTGATATTATAGTACTAAAACATCATCATCATATCTACTATGAGTTTTACATTCATCTCCCATATTTGGTGGTTGTCTGGTATAAATTTATTTTTAAAACTATTTCATCAATTTTACCGCTTACTAAGTCATTGAATTAGTAAAATCTCTTTTTAAGATGTTAAAAATGTTTTATGCAATTATACCGGGATTTTTTGAAAAATCATTTTATCAACAAACTTTAGAAGAGAAAGAGTTACCCACTTTAGAGAAAACTAACATTCAAACGTTAATAAAATAAATGATAACTATGAATCAAATAAATATTATTCATTCTAATTACAAAACGGTAATATGCGCAACGAAAGATTTGAATATGATAAAGTACTCCAACAGCACCAAAATCACTTTTTTGACTCGAAAGAGTTCCAAGCCATCGGCATTCGTTCTTTGATTAGGCATTGAAAAGAATTTACAAACAATGAAGGTGGATGTATTGTTAAAAATTGGTTAAATTGATATATTAACTTTTTTGAAATGGCATTCATTATAGTTTTGTTAATCAAATGCATCCTATTTGAGTGATGCCAATTATTGAGTTTACCTTTTTTAGTTTTAATTACTTTAACACCCAATAATTACATTAGTAATAAAAGTAATAAAAAGCTGCTGGTCTGTTTCTATAGTGTTCCTGGATTGTTTTCCTTGATCTAATCTCTGAATAACGTTCGTTGCTCCTTCAAGTTTCATAATTGTAACGATTGATTTAAAACTTTTAAAATTATGTCAAGATCTATAACTGATGCAATCACATAATCATCTGTAACAACATAATTACTTTTCTTTTTTATTGCTTTTATCATCTGTAAAGAAGGAGGCATTAACTTCCAAGTTGAATGCTCTTCTGCGCAGTGTTCTGTGACAAGGCTGATAGGTCTTAATGGGGAAACTAAAAAAAAACAAAAAAAAGTTTAGAATTAACATTACCCCGCTTTATATTGATTGCTCTTTTAGTTTTACCAATTTTATAATTGTAATTAACTCGAATTATAATAAGGGAAAATAAATAAATTTCATCAATAATTATATATTTATATATGTATATATATATATATATATATATATATATATATATATATATATATATATATATATATATATATATATATATATATATATATATGTATATATATATATATATATATATATATATATATATATATATATATATATATATGTATATATATATATATATATATATATATATATATATATATATATATATATATATATATATATATATATGTATATATATATATATATATATATATATATATATATATATATATATATATATATATATATATATATATATATATATATATATACAATTTTTATATGTATATATGTATATCTATAAAAATATGATTGGAACCTGGGAACAAAAAACCCTTAAATTTTAGCTTAACGTACTCCAATCGTGAGAGCAACGAGTTGATAAAATATTTTTTTTATTATTCTTAACTAAATCTATATTCATTGATAAATTTTAAAACTAAAAAAAAAAAAAAAAAGGTTTTTATGGTCATTATAATGCCATAATTTTTGAACACTAAGAGATTATTTTACAAAATTAAAAATCTATCGATAAACATAAACCTAGTTAAAAATATTGAAAATAATATTTTTTCAACATGTTACTCCCACGTTTTGGGGCCATTGTAGCTAAAATTTGAGGTTCCTTTTTGTTCCTAGGCTCCAATTTTCGCAATTTTTGCAAAGCATCTTTATTTAATATTAGTATAAATATATAAATACTTGGAGTTTCCTCTATGTCAGAAAGTTAGCTACCTCAAACATCAAAAAATTCTGCATCCGCCCCTGTCTTTAGAGTAAAAAAAAAAACAATAAATTTATAAGATAAAGTTTTATAAAGATTATAAACGTCAATGCAAAATCATAAACATTTATATTACATAAAAGTATACTGCATATCTTTGCATAAATTAGATTAATTTAAAGAACTTTAATTTGTTCGATTGTTTTAAATGATAATTGCTTAAATACCAAAATTAAACATAAATGTTTTTGTATTTATAGATAAATGCATAAGCAACAAAATTTCCTTCGTGTTTACCAAAAAAATATGATCATGGCTGCATAAAATGTTTGCTTTAATATATATATATATATATATATATATATATATATATATATATATATATATATATATATATATATATATATATATATATACATATATATATATATAGTAGATATATATATATATATATATATATATATATATATATATATGTATATATATATATATATATACATATATATATATATATATATATATATATATATATATATATATATATATATATATATATATATATATATATATATATATATATATATATATATATATATATATATATATATATATAAAGAAGGCGCTGAAATTCAAAGGTTATCAGAGGGGTTTAACCAACCATCGATGACATCACGGTCATTTAAAAGTGTCAAAGCAATTTAAAGGAAGAAACTCATTTGAATAATTAGAATGGCAGCCATTTTTCTATTGTTACTTTCATTGACAAAATTACAAGAATGACTAATACCATCAATGCATTAATAAACTTAAATCTTTGTGATAAAAACGTCATAATAGAAAAATTGAATAGTTAAATTATATTTTATAAACCCTCGAGTAAATGAAACATTTGCGGTGCGGTATGAAGATAGTTGAATGTAAAAAAAGCGAACAAGCAATGTTTTTTTAAATTCTTTGTTCGCAAAATAATTATTTACTTACTGAATTTTGTAGAACTTTTGTTTAAATACGTTTACTTTGGTGGAGATATTTTTGAAAAAAGGTAAAATTATTTATTAGTTATTTTTAAAAGATATTTAAAAATTTACTAACTTGTGTATATTTTATTCCAATTCGTAATGGCGCAAATTATTTTATTGCATAATATACAGATCATTTTTGATTTGTGAAAGACGGACCAAAGAAAATTATGAATTATGAACTTCCTTTAAAAAAGTATTGAAACTTGAAAATCAAAAGATTGCATTACGATAACCAGTGTAAGCAGTTTATTTTATTTGCATAAATGAAAAAATTTATGAAGTATCATAAAAAAAAATTATAAATATTCTAATATTACGTTTGTTCCGCTGAACTAGTTAAGCTGTATTAGTTATTAAAAGTTGAAATATTAATATTTTTTTACTCTTTAAAGTTGAAATATTATTTTTTTTTTTTATATAGTATTAGAATAATTGTTAGTTCTTATACTCAGTTTATATTATATCAAATTTTAAAGTTGAAATATTATTATTTTTTTTTATATAGTATTAGAATAATTGTTAGTTCTTATACTCAGTTTATATTATATCAAATTTTTATATTCAGGGGATAAAGTTTAACTCATTTTTTATCTGTTGCATTTTATATTTAGTTTTTTTTAATCTTTAGTATCTCCCCCATAAACCTCTCCATACTCAATACCTTTACTTAATATCTTCCGTATACATGGAGATAATACGCCAAAGTTTATTAATGTAAATTTGTAATTCATAATTCCGGTTTTTCTTGTTTTTCTAATAATTCTCAAAGCCACACTCAATAAACGACATCTGTGGCTTTTTGTTAGAATGTTTAACTTTTATTTTCGTACAATAATCGGACTTGTAATACAAATACTAAAAAAAAGTTAAGAACTTAATGTCTTGTGTACATATATACACCATAACAATTTTGCTTCACTTTTTGTCATTATCTGTATTTTGCTATATTTTTGTGTTCTAAATGTTCAAACCAATAAATTAATTGCGGAAGTATATAAATTTTAAATTTTTTTTTAAAGACCACAAAAATTTTAACTTTAAAAATAGGTTTTTTATATTTCTTTATAGGTATTTAGTATAAAAACTGGTATTACAATGCTTGAAAAACATACTATTTATAAAAGAATATATTTCGAATCTTCTTTGTTCAAATATATAAGTTGTGATCTTAAATTTAAAAAAATCTTATAAAATCTTAGTTATAACTGGAGCGTATTAATCTTTAGATTTTACCCTCAATATAATTAAATATTATTTTAATGTTTTTTCCTTTTTTTTGAGGCACTCAACAAAAGTAATTCAAACTATAAAAAAATATATGTTGCCTACCCAGCAAACATTTGGTCTAAAAAAGGCGTATTAACGTCTTTTTTAGACCAAATGTTTGGCAGTCATTTATCACGTTGTCTCATTTTGACTACCGGTCCTGGCCATATAAGCGACATTGGTAACCTAGGAGACGTGAATTTTTTGGTTAAATCCTCTTCCACGGTGTTGTCATAAGAGCGTCAAGTTTTCTTGTAACACCTTAATAACAACAACGAAATTCCGCAGCCATCAGTTTTCATAGTATTAACTTAAGTATTAACATAGTATTCAACATAGTATTGACATAGTATTCAACTTAAGTTAAAAGCTGTAAGAAGAACAAAAAACTAATCCAAAATTAGTTTATTAAATATCTATGAAAAATTTTGGAAATCTTTGCAATAAAAAATATTTATGTAATTAGATATAATAGAAAAAAAAAAATTATAATGATGATCTTTCAAATTTGATGAAAAAAAATTGACAATAAAAATTTGGCACCAACTTTTGGAAGAAAAGAACTCACAACACAAGACGATAAATTAGGGCTGAAATTTTGTTATTTCATATGTTTTAAAGTAATTGTACTCTAAAAAAAAAAATTTATGAAAATAAAACCGTCCTTTTTATGATGTATGTAAATTAAACATTTACGCGGTACACCGCGGAAGAGCATTTATCTAGGTCACGCTTTCTTCCTTACATATGACGTTAAATATGCGCCCCGAATCCTAAACCTCTTCTAAAATAAGCGCTCTAACCACTGCACCACGGTCTCTTAAGCCGTTGGGTTAGCTGTCTTTTTACAATAAGCTTTCTTGCCAAACTCCAATTTTAAAGTTGAGCGTCTTCATGTCAGCTAACTCGGATTTATTAGCAAACTAGGATAAATAAGAATTGGCATTGATAAAATGAGAAAATTTTAAACGGGTATATTTTGCGGAAATAAGGGTTGGGGCTCGGAACTTTAGTACATACATACACTGATTTAGGAAGAACATGAAAAAGAGTGCTGCTTCGTTGACTGAGGGGTTAGGTGCAACGATACTGTTAGATTAAAAAGAAATTTTCCTCACTTTCTTCCCGCATTTTATCCGTTAAAATTTTCGCATTTTCTCATTTTACCCCAGCCCACAGGTAAAACGGGTAAAATGAAATGTGGAAATGCGGCACTAGCGTGAGCGTGACTGAAAGTTATAGACGATCAACTGATTTATAGACAGATAAAACGAAAGTAATGGATGTACGCAAATTTTTTGCCCACATGTCAAATCAATATTCAGTTTTGCTTATTGTATCATTGATGCTAGAAATTTATAAATTTCAATGAAGAAAATGTGTCTACACATTAAGCAGCTATTGTTAAAAAAATAGATTGCTATACTTGTTAACCTATTTTAGTTTCATGATATGATGTGTAATTTAAAGCATCTTTGCTGGAATTTTTACTGACACAATATTTTATACATGTTTTATACATGTTAACTTCATTTAAAATAACCGAATGGTTGTTTAAAGTGAAGTTGAAATTTATGGAATTATCATACTTAAAACAATTGTTGAATGCAAAGCTAGATTTATGATAGGTGCTGTATACATTTCACAATAAAGAAATAGTTGCAATTCCTGGAATTATCATACTTAAAATAAATGTTAAATATGAAGATAGATTTAATAGATTAACATGAAAAAATAGATTAAATATGAAGCTAGAAGCAGATACCTTAAACATTTTACAAGTATATATACTAAATGCTGAATATAAAACTAGATTTATCCAGACACAAAGTCTTGAAAAAGTATTCCTAAACACTGGCATTTTTGTTGCTACAGTTAAAGCAAGAAGGTTCTTTAAACATTTGATTCTGTTTCAGTTTTGTTTCAGAATTGATCCTGTTTCAGTTAAGGAGTTGAGATAAAATATGGCTTTGATTTCTATGAAGCTTTTAAGGTATATTTGTATTAGTTTTTATTATGCTAAAGGATCTTTTGTCTTATCTTTTTATTCTTTGTTTAATGATAATTTTCAAACATAAATTAAAGCTAAAATCACTATAATGTTAAAAGTTAATACAAAACTAGTATTATTTGTGTACTGTAAAAGACACCCCTAACCTGTCATTCTATATAACATGCATCATTTTCAAAGGTCTAGACAGCTTTTATTAACATTTAATATAGGTAACTATATAACTAATAAGGTATATGGTATGCTTATAATCAAATGAGAGTGCATTGCAAAAAGTTGCTGTAATTAGTCTTGAAACAAAAATAACCCACACCTTGTGCTCTTAACTACAAACTTTTAAAACAAATTAAAGAATTAAAATATGTATGCATAAACACACACATATAAGTAGTATATATATATATATATATATATATATATATATATATATATATATATATATATATATATATATATATATATATATATATATATATATATATATATATATATATATATATATATATATATATATATATATATATATATATATATATATATATATATATATATATATATATATATATATATATATATATATATATATATATATATATATATATATATATATATATATATATATATATATATATATATATATATATATATATATATATATATATATATATATATATATATATATATATATATATATATATATATATATATATATATATATATATATATATATATATATATATATATATATATATATATATATATATATATATATATATATATATATATATATATATATATATATATATATATATATATATATATATATATATATATATATATATATATATATATATATATATATATATATATATATATATATATATATATATATATATATATATATATATATATATATATATATATATATATATATATATATATATATATATATATATATATATATATATATATATATATATATATATATATATATATATATATATATATATATATATATATATATTATATATATATATATATATATATATATATATATATATATATATATATATATATATATATATATATATATATATATATATATATATATATATATATATATATATATATATATATATATATATATATATATATATATATATATATATATATATATATATATATATAATATATATATATATATATATATATAGGCCTCGGCGGGAATAAATGAGTACGAGAGCGGAGAAAAGCTCTTCTAAAGCGAACTTGGGGAGCTGTGTGAGCTTTTTTAATTCTAATTTTTTTTTGAAACAACCGTGCCTTTTAAAAAGCATTTCAGTATATTATGCAATTAATTTTTTCTAAATGACATTGTGTTTTTTATTTTATTTAAAATAATAATTATACTTTTATGAGAAAAATTATACTTTTGCGAGAGCCGTAAATAGCTTTCGTAAACCGTTTCAGGGGAGTGTGGACAAGAGCAAAAGCTAAAGCTCTCGCTTCCTGCCGAGGCATATATATATATATATATATATATATATATATATATATATATATATATATATATATATATATATATATATATATATATATATATATAGGATTGCCAGGCGTCCGGCTTTTACGGAGCAAAATACAGCGCTAAACCTGTAAAAATATATTTTTTACTGTGTTCTCCTCCATAAACGTCCGGCAACCCTATATATATATATATATATATATATATATATATATATATATATATATATATATATATATATATATATATATATATATATATAGTTTTTTAATATTTAAATAATCAGGAATCAATTTAATTGATTTTATTTATCGGAATAAATCAAAGTATTTAAAAATTTTATTAAATAACTAATATAATAGTTTCACAGAGGTGCAAATATAAAATGCAAGTTGTAGAGGGCACATGTAGCACAGACATACATTTTGACAATTTAACAGAGTAAGAGTTGCAAATATAAAATGCAAGTTGCGGATGGCATAGGTAGCACAGACTTTTTTCTAGGTTTATAACTTTGCACCTTTTAATGATTTTTTATTTTTTGAGCTCAACTTGTTTCCCCGCGCAGCCGCTTTGTCAATGTTTGTGTTTCAGAGCTGAGATAGGGTTGTAACCACAATTAAGTAGCTTCCTCCTCTGTAGTGGCCTTCTTGGCCTTGGGGAGGTGAATTAAAAAAAAGAAAATATAACTTTACCAGCTATTTTGTTGCAATTATCAAGATATTATTTCAGATATCGTGAATTTCAATATCTGGAATAATAACTGGTCTTCAAAATTTTAGTTTATGCAAATCCTTATACTTTGTTTTAATGGGGCAAACTAACTTTAATTTGCTAGCCAAAATCTTATAAGAAACAAAGCAAAACAATAAACTTAAGATTAGAATAGTAAGAACAATATAATCTGTGTTGAAAAAATAATAATGCTTTAATAGTTACTTTTATAATGCATTAAAAACTTGCATTGTTTGTTCAAACAACACTTAGTCAAGGTACTAAAAATAAAAATTGATTTAATAAGTAATTCTATATTTTAATTAAAGTAAAAATGGATCTATAAAAAATAAAATAAATGATATTTAGAATATTAAAAAACTTCAAGAACTTTTACAAATATGTTTTTTATAAACAGTGAAGCATTTCTAAACAGTTACTAATGGTGCAGGAAAAAGTGCTTTAATTTATTAATCAACCAACAAAAATTTTTTACTATTTGGTAATAAAAATTTATAATTAACTTGCATTTTTTCAGACCATTAGCAACAGTGTAGAAATATTTAACTGTTTATAAAACTATATTTTTCCAGATATTGCAATTTGTAGTTGCTTAATTCAACCCTTGTGTTGTAAAAGCAAAGATCGTTTTAGGTTTCCAATTAATATTTATTTAAAAATCTCATTGTGCTTTCACTTGCCTTATGAAAAGTGTATATAATATGTTTTGTGCAAATTTTTGATGCAGTGATCAAACACAATTACAAGTTTTATTATTAACAGTTTTTACTTTTTTAAATTATTTAAATCGAGTTTTTACCAAAAGCATTTTTTTGTTTGGTTACATGTTGAAATGCTAATTTAATTAAATAGCATAAAATAAAGCTACAAATTAAAATGTAATGAAGTAAAAGAAATTTTATGATAATTATTATTTTAAAATACAATTAAAAACTAGTCTTATAATATCTAACAAGCTTAATATATCTTAATATCTAACAAGCATATATTATTATTGCTACTTAGTATTATTAGAAAACTAATAAACACAATTAAAGGAGGCCATTTTTTATCTTCTAATATTACTATTTCTAGCAAGAAGGAAGTAGTGGTGATTTGTCCTGTTTTTTTGTTTTTGTTTTTAATGTTTTCATAAGCCCCCTTCTAAAATCAATTAAAAATGGGGCATTTTCAGAAATATATAAAATTTATATTAACAAGCACACAAACTACTAATAAAAAGTTTGCAGTTTTGCTACAAATTAGGAGAAAGTCATTTCTTTTAAAAATGACTTAAAATCTTTGAAAACAACATCTAAATGTTGTATTCAAGAGTATTGGTGATGATCTTCTAAACAGTGCTATATAAAATATAATAATTCTTTATTTCAATTGTTTTTTAGATATTCAAGGTTATTCATGTGAACAATCAAGATGATGTCATTAAAAGTGTTATTAATGGTTACAATAGTTTATCCTAGTATAGCTGGTAAGTGATTTTTATTGGAAATTAACACCAAATCTTTTTTTGGTTATGTTCATTATGAACTAAATTGAAGTTATTTATAGTAGAGCTAGACTTTCCAACAAATGGATTTCGTATCCTCCGAATGAATCAAGTAACAACCCAAAACAATTATATCAAATTGCGGTTTAAAACAACTGAAGCTACTGGGTTGATTTTCTTTGCTCAGGGAGCAAGTAAAACTGAGTTTTTGTCTATGGAGCTGTTTAGAGGAAAAATAAGGTACAAATTATTTATAAAAAAAAACTTCTTTTAACATATACATGTTACATATATAAATTCAAATAGATATTTTATTTTTAATATATATAATTAAATATATGTATAAAGATTTTACATATAAATACAGTTAATTACATATATTAACAGCCTTTGTTGGAAGCAATGGTCCCAGGGATATTAAAAATCCAGGGAGCTCCTGTACTGTAGATTCCAGAGTCCTATGGAGTTTTCATGTTACTTAATAGAGCTTTGTTAGAGCTTTGATAATATAATAAATATTTTACCTAAAGCAATTTTTGTAATTTCCTATACCAGGTTTTAATAAAATACCTTCTTAAAACTTTATGTTTTTCTTATAAGAATGTTCAGGCCTTAACAAAAAGCATTATGCTGTATGCATTTTAGGTATAATATAGCAATTTTACCTACACATTCAGCAAATTACATAAAGCAAAAACAATCTTTGAATCTATTGAATATTTAAATCTATTGAATATTTAAATTGTTTGTTGATTATTTAGATGACAATTAGACATAGATTGTTTATGATTATTTAGGTAATACTAGTTTATAATTATTGTAAAAAAACATGTTAACCACATTAGTGAAATTTTTTTATTTTTTTTATTTGGATAAAAAAACAGATTGTGAAAATAATTTTTTTTTAATTAAAAACCTTAAAATTAACATGATTTTGTAAAATGGTTTTTGTACCTTATTCATTCAATATCATTTAAAGTTCTTAAGACAATAGTTTTATTTACAAGCATAAATTATGTTTACAAATATCTTTTTAATAACAAATAAAATCTACATATAAATTGTTTATATCTTTATCTTTATTAAAAATAGTTCATTAAGTATGTAAAAAAATAAAAAAATAAAAAAAATTATTTTAGAAGAAGCAATCACAATATTATTTTATGTAAAATAAATAATTAAGAAAAAAAACTTTTAAAAGAAGTTTGATTAGTTTGATACAATGTTATTTTTTACTACTTCTTGTTCCAGTTTTTTTTATTTTAATTTTCAGCAATGAAAATTGTAAACAGTTTTTAATTTGCTTTCGACTTTTTCAACTTTTTGTGACGTATAAAATCTAGGAGTATTAATATCTAGTTCTGCATTTATTATATTGTTATTTTTTTAAATATTAATCACAAATGTGTAAAAAAAATTTAAAATTAGAAAAAAAGTAAATTTGTTTAGAGTTGCAGCTAATTATGGAAATGGGCCAGTGAATCAACTTCGTCCGATTGACGGTTTTTATGAAATGTACCTTGGCAAAGACTTGGCTGATAATCAATGGCATACTGTTGAATTTATTAGGAAAGTACGAGATAACACACTTTATATCGATCGGGGTGAAAGAATGGAAAAGTCAGCTTTCACAATGTCACCACCTACATATGAGGAGTTAACTGTTTCTATGGTGACCTTTACTGGTTATTATTCATTTCATATGAATGAAATCAGTAAACAAAAGTCTTTGTCACGAAAAGGGTTTAGAGCCTGCTTTTCAGAAGCTATATTTAGTCAATATTTACCTGGTAAAAATGGAATGATGTATGACTTTTTAACAATAAATTCTCCTAACATACAATCTTTCCCAACAAATAATGTTGCTCAACCATGTACAAATCCTGCCTATGCTCCATTGTTTTTTCCTTCTGCTGCTGTACACATTAGTCTCGTACAAAACTATTCAATTCAATCCATGAAAATGGAGATGAAATTTCGTACTGTTATTAATGAACAAATACTTGCAAACTATACTACAATACAAACAGCTGATAAAATCAAGTTATTCATTGACAGAAAAGGTCGGGTTGGAGTTGGTGTTGAATTTAAACAAAACATGCAGATTATTCAAACAGCAACAGAAAACTATCATGATGGAGAATGGCACAACGCATCTTTTGAAATTGACAACATTGCTACAACTGATGGTTCCTTTGTTCTCAAATTTACAGTAGATGGAAGAACAAGACTTTCAACTTTGAATCAAGCATTTTATTTTAATGGATATATAAATATTGGATTTGGTTTCACTGGATGCATGAGAGATATAAAAATTAACGATGATGATATTAAAAGTGTACGAAGAGATTTAAAAGATCCAAAGCAATTTTTTACTTATGAGGATACAGGTGTCATATATAACTCGTGTAGTCTAAAAGACTATTGCAATCCAAATCCATGTCAACATGGTGCCAGCTGTAATCAGACAGAAGATAACATAAAATGTGACTGTCACAATACTTTGTATGAAGGTTCTACATGTCACAGACGTAAGTACCTATTTTTTATGTTACTTTATTTTTGCATTATTTATGTTAAAAATTCCAAATAACTTTAAAATGATGAAAAAAATTATGAGACACTTTTAAAAATAAAAATTACTAAGATTGTTTATGAGAAAAAAAGACATTTTGCAATTGTAAAAAATCAATATTGGGTACTTTTACCCTTTTTTTGTGGGAAAATGAAAACTTTTAAAAAGAAGTGCAGCTTTGTTGCACTTTTATTGCACTAAAAATAATATTTTTAAAAATATAAAAATTATTTTATTATAAAAATTAAATTACTATTTGAACCCATCACTGTCATAATATTGAGATTATTTTTTCAGTTTTGTGAACAATCAATTTTTTTTTCTAATTTGGGGGATTTTTGAAAATTTTCTCTCACAGTTTTTAATCCACAGTGCATTAGAGCTATATGTATGAAGGTAAAGTTTATACATAGAGCTAATAAACAGTGTCTTAAAAAATTATCTGACCAAAAAATTTTTCTAAAAAATGTGCTTTTTATATTTTTTTAATACTTTTTTGGTAAACTCAAGATAACTAATAAAAGAGCATTTTTTTAATAGATTTTATTTCTTTTAGTGAAAATATCACAAAGTTTTCTTAAAATATAGGAACTTAAGATCAACAGCTAAATTTCTCAACAGTGATATTTACCTCCAGCCATTTTAGATATTTACCTCCAGCCATTTTAGATATTTACCTCCAGCCATTTTACTGGAAAAAAAAAAGAAGTAATTACAGTTATTCATTGTTTTTTGTATAATTTAAAGAGTAAACATTTTTTTTTTAAATTTGTTTCGTCAGATAATTTTTGAAATACTTTAAAAAGATTTTTAAAAAGTTTTGTTTAAATTTTAAAAAAATGTTTATCTATGGAGGGTTTGTGTTAAGGCAGGCAGTATCAACATATAAAGGTCATTTATTAAGGCAAAAAAATTTTTAAAAAGTCTTTTTATATACTTTTTATACTTTTTATAGTTGAAATATAGTTAATGAATAACTTTAACTTTAAATTTAGACTTAAGGGATCAACCTTCAGAATAAGGGTCGGCATGGTGACCTTAAATTATTTGAGGTTGGCAATTTTTTGCTGACCTCAAACACTTTAAGGTCAGCATTTTTATTGGTAACCCCTTTGTATCAATTTTTTTTTTTACCGACCTCTAACAGTTTGAGATCGGTAATTTATTGCCTAACTTATTTTTCTTAATTCCGAGGGTTGAGGGATAAACAGATAGAATCTATTTATCCCTTAAGTCTAAATTTGACTCAAATTTAGACTTAAATTTAGAAGGGATAAACGGATTCTATCTGTTGACCAGCTTCACTCCCCTTCTTCATCTATTAGGCGGGTGTACATGTATTTAAAATACATTATTTCCAGTTTAGAATGTTAAATACTGGATCTTCTTGACTCATTGCATGGGTTTTACTTGTGTCTCTGTTTTTATGACTAGGCAACTCATTCTATTATCTCCTAATGAGGGTACATCTCTAAAACTAAGTTTTATGGTTTTAAGCCTGGCTGGTAGTAATGAGGCAATTGCTTATGCTATTAAATATGTACTTAGTACTATCTATGCTTTGCGGGCTTTCACAGGAAGGTGTGCGGTCGCACGTCTTAATATGACCAGGTAAATTACATTTTTGCTATGACGATTTGACCTAATTCAAAAAACATTTTAAAAACAGGCTAAATGAAAAATTTTCTGAAAAAGGGAAATTAATTACATTAAAGCTTCTTAACAAATTTTTTTATATAAGCAAAACGTCTTTAAATAAAGTAACAATTTACTGATAATGTTTTTTTTTTTTTTTTAATATGATTGACAGTTATATATATTTTTTTAATTTATAATATATAGATTGTTTAAGTGCGCCTTTCTATAATAAACGTTATTAAAAAATAAAAAGTTGTTTTGTTTTTATAAACGATGACATTCTACGACTATGAAAGTCTCTTTAACAAATTTAAATATAAGAATAATTAAAGTTAATACATTTAAAAAGATAAACAAAATTTCATTAAAAAAAAAAGTTTTAAAAAGTTACAATTAAATAAGTTTGATCTTAAATGCTTTTATATTATCGAAATGCTTTTCAATGAAGTAACAAAATACTTCTAATTAATTTGTAAAATAAGTATTAATAAACTGTTGTTACAAATGTTAAAACAAAGATTGAAATGGTTTTTAATGCGTAAATTAAATAGACTAAGCATTTCAGTTTGATGAAATTTGTTGTATAAATATTTTTTTTTTGTGTGTTTTTGCTTTAACTAAGTATTTTTTTTATTTTCTCTTTCATTAAGATTTTTTTTCTTTTTACAATTTTTTTTTTTTTAGATAAGTTTTAGTAAGTTTTTGTAGCGCATTTTTAGAGCCGTGGTCAAATGGTTACAACATTATTTTTTGCGTGGTCATATACAGGAAGGTGTGCGATCGCACGCCTTCCTGTGAAAGCCAGCTTTAAGTCAAGTTCTTTAACCAATTTAAAAATGACTAAAGTATCAAAAACTATAAAACACAAAAAGCCTAAATTCTCTTAATCTATCATTCACTAATGAATGTGGTCTTCAAAGTAACTTTTCTTCTGTTGGTTTTTATCTCTTGCAAAGTTCACCAGAACTTATATGCTCTTTAACAGACTAATTTAAGTTCAGCTGTCTCATCTTGTGATCTTAGTGTTGATGATTATCTACCATTAATTCGTAAAGACGCCAATAGTCACATGCTTGGCCTGGGCATTTACATTCATAAGAATTCACCCATTTGACAGGAAACTCGATTTGAATTCACAGACTATTCTTTTATGTGCTTTTATTTAACACCACTTCACTCTATTGCCTTTCTCTTTGTTCTATATTGCTCTCCTCTGTCTCAAGACTGCACTCTTTTTGATACTATTTTTGATCAAATTGACCAAGCCCTTTCTTTTTATCCTTCAGCTAATATTGCTGTTGTTGATGACTTTAATGCTTATTACACTGAATGACTTGGCTCTAGTGTCAGTGATTCTGCAGGTGTTAAGGATCACATTTTTGCCTTTCTCAATCTCAAACACAAATAGTCAACATTCCAACTTGCTTTCCAGGCAATTTGAATCGTTTACCTTCTCTTTTTGACTTAGGTCTTGTTTCTGATCCTTGTTAGATCTCAGCTTTTCCACATAAACTCTTAGGTGCTTCTGATCATGATTTGATCTCTCTAATACTATTATCTCAATCTTTTTCATCATCAGAATCCCCTTATCATTGTGCCTTATACAACTATCTTAAAGCTGACTGGGACTCTTTCCATGATTTTCTTCTTGATGGCCCTTGGGTAGAAATCTTTCATCTTTCTGTTGACAAATGTGCTACTTATGTAACTTCTTGGATTCAGGCTGGCATGGAATCTTTTATTCCCTCTCAACTAATACAAGTCAAGCTTCACTCCTCTCCATAGTTTTTCTCTAATTGTAATACTGCAATTTCTAATAGAAACCATTACTTCCATATCTATTACCAAACCAATTCTCTAGAAAACAGACGTCTGTTTACTATTATTAGAAACCAATGTAAAAATGTTTTTTTCTTTAAACTAAGTTTTAGAGTTATACCCTTATTATAAAATAACGAAAAGAATTGCATTGCTACCACCAAAATAAAATGACTTCCGCAATTAACATAATCGTTTCAACAAATTAAAAGTTTCTTTATTGTTAAAGTAACAAAAACCATTAAGAAATGTTTTTGCTACTTCAACTGCAAAACCTTGAATTTGCAAGAAAAAATTTTAAAATGGAAAAACTTGAATATCGAGCATATATTAAAACTCATGCTCTACTTGGAGTTTCAGCACAAGCCATACCCGATGAGTTGGTTTTAGTTCATGGTGACCAAGCTCCAAAATATAGTACAGTTGCTAAGTGGACTATTTTATTTAAAGATGGTAGAGAGAGTCTTGAAGATGATCCTCGCTCAGGTCACCCTAAAACCACGTATACAGCTGAGAATATTGAACGTGTGCGAGCCATTATTGAAGAAAATTCGCATGCAACACATGATATAATTGATGCCTTGTCATCAATTAATTGTTTTACAGTTAATGAAATCATTCACAACACACTTAAAAAAAGAAAACTAACATCACGTTGGATACCCCACAAGTTAACCGAGGAAAATTGAAAGAATAGAGACGAGGCATGTAAGGAAAATTTAGCCCTTTTCAGAAACGGCCCATGGAGGCTATGCGATATTGTTACAGGGGATGAGTTATGGTTTTATTTGAGACAAGTTGGACACGAGTCAGCTAACGTTAGTTGGGTCGTGAAGGTAAAAGTCCAAGAACTATAGTAAGATGCGAAAGGTTTCAGCCAAAAAGCATGTTTTACATTTTCTTCAAAGCAACAGGTGTTGTTCAATTGGGTTATGTTGAAAAGGGAGACACCATTTCTAGCGAATATTATATATGAAATTGTTTGAAACCTTTTATATGCAAATTAAATAAGCAAAAACCTACGGGCACACAAATTTTTTCATTTTTCAACTCTCAACCCTATGCAACTCAAACCGTCACAAATTGTTTAAACCAAGCTGGAATTACAATAATTCGCTGCCCACCATACTCACCAGACTTAGCTCCATCCGATTATTGGCTATTCGACTTGATAAAAAAAAATCTTGGTGATGATGCTGACGTCGAAAGCCAAAAAACCCGCATAATGAAGTTATTTGAAAGTATACCCAAAGAAGAGTATAAAAAAATGTTTCACATATGGCTTGAAAAGATGCAACTTTGTATAGATAATGATGGACATTATTTTGAACATTTAATAAAGAGTTTTTTTTATATACTTAAAAGCTTTAGAACTTAGTTTTGTGTTTTATGTCACAGTTTAATTTGCCGTTTTTAACTAGCCATTTTAAATCAATAATCAATCACATGGTTGGTTAATGGGAATTTATTACATCTATATATTAAGTTACATGATATATCTTATTGTTTTTTTATTAGTTAAAACATTTAAAAATTTAAAAAAAGATTTAATTACATGATTTTTTCTTAAAATTAAATATAGAGTTTTAAAGGTTTTTTTGAATTAAAATTAAAATAGTTTTAGTTATATTTTAAAAATTATAATTTATTATGTTTTTTTTTTGTTTTTTTTGTTTAAATTTATTTATACTGTTTTTTTTTCAACTTATCTAAATCTGTTTAAAAAAGTTGTTAATGATGTAAATTTAATGGTTTTTTTAAATAATTTTATTTATAAAATCCATTTTTGAACCAATAAGCAATAGTTTAATTTGATAGTTCAGTACGAGTAAAACACCAGAAACCACTTTGACATCTACCAAAAATAGTGTTACATCTCAGATTCAAAAACCCTTTACAAAAAAAAAGTATGCTTTTTTGCAAATAATAGAAAAAATCATGCTTTACAAACAAGAAGGAATCAATCACTGGAATTAATTCAAAAAGATTTTTTGTTAAAAAAACTGTGCAATATTTAAAAATTAGAAATCTATATTTGACAGGTATTTCTGTGTCTCAGCAATGTCAGCTCCTGTCAGCGTATCTTTTGTCAGAGTGGATTGATAATGTGCCCTTATAGAACTCTTATTTTGATATATCAAGTGTATATAGCATTGATATGTTTTATATATTTCTGTATGTTACAAGCCAGAATAGGTTGTTGGTATGTTTTTTTGTCTCATCAGTATTGGACTATCTGTGTATTTAAGTTAAACCTAATTTATTGTTAAAGACCCATTAATTTCTATATCTGAGAGTAGCAAAAATTGGCTTATAACACTTGAGTTGTTAGAAAAACTGCTTTATTATTTTTTAAAAGCTTTGCTGGCTGAACCAATTCTTTTTTAATTTTGGTAAAAACTCATAAAATCAGTTTTAAAATGGGTTTTCAAAAAAATGTTATTATTTTGGTTCTACTTATTATGTTATTACTTGGTTCCCATTACACAAAACCAATGAATATATTGTTTAAAAGTCTTGATATATTCAACGATGAATAAGATTTTACTTCAGCTACTGGTTACCTAATTAAAGTGTTGGAAAGTTATGGATCTAATATGGATCTTAAGATAAATTTGTACTATCAAAATTTTATACTTATTAAAAGTTCAATTTTGATAAGTATAATTAAACTTTAAATGTAAGAAATTTTAAACTAAAAAAGTAGTTTATGTACAATTATTTTTATTATATTTATATTTTATTTTGTTATATACAATTTTTAAAATCCCAGGTGATATATCATACCTAATGTAAGTTGTATATAATATTTTAACTATGTTATGTCTTCATTATGTAAGTATAACTCAATGATATCATCATTATTTAAGTAAAAAAATCTTTCGTAAAATATTTTGTCAGGAGATTGAGATAGGAGATGTTGTTTTTTCAACTTTTAAATATTTTTTATTATAATTTTTTTAAATATTTTTAAAGTTTTAAATATTTTTTATTATAATTTTTTTCTTAATTAAACATTAGCTCGTTTTAATTACACTTGTGCTGGTGTGAGAAAGTCTGGAGAAAAAAGGAGTGATGTTTATTATATTGATTTTGATGGAATGGGTCCTATGCAACCTGTACTTGCTTTGTGCGACCTTGGTAAAACAGTTGAAAGTAGTGTTACCCAAATAAATAACACAAACTATGATGACAAAGATGTCACTACACCGACAGGAGTAAACTTTTTTGATATTGATTATGCGGCAAACATAATTCAGATGAGAGAACTGATTTTAAACAGTGCTTTTTGTGAACAGTATGTTAAATATACGTGTCTTGGAACTCCAATATTTAGATCACCAGAAGGTCCACCATCTGTGAGTTAAAAATGTGGAAAAACAATTTAAAAAAATAATTTTAAAAAAAATGTCTAGTTTATTTACTTTTCTCATTCATTTATTTATTTATTTTTAAAATACTTTACCATTTTTGTTTTTTTACAGGTTAAATGGATGGGAGGTGATGACATCTTACATTACTATTGGGGAGGTGGAAAAAATAATCGTGGGTATTGCGCATGTGGTCTTGATCAAACATGTTTTAATGTTGGAAAATATTGTAATTGTGATGATTTAAATGCTTACCAAAATCTTTTTGATGAAGGGAATTTTACAACAAAGGAGCACCTTCCAGTTCGCCAAGTGCAGTTTGATCAAGTTTTAAAAGGCTCAGTTACTGGTAAATTACGAGTTGGTCACTTAAGATGTGCTGGATATGGTGCTAGAGAGGTAGGAGCTACCTTTCGAAAACCATACTCCTATTTATCTGTCTACTTTCCTGATCAACCTTTTGATAATATATACGCAGGTGGAGTTTCATTTGAGTTTAAAACTTCGGTTGCTTACAACTATTTAGTTTTAGTACATGCTTGGGGACCATTTTCTGGTGACTATCTTAAGGTAATGATTTGGTCAAGGACATTGGTAAGAGTACTTCTAAATTTCGGTTTTGGAGAAATTAAGCAAGATGTTGACATTGAAAAAATTGGAAGATATTTAGATGACAATGAGTGGCATGAGTTTGATGTTATGTTTAATATGAAAGAGCTTAATGTGACATTAGATGGAATTCTCATGATACAAGGATTACCTTTGCAAGATGACCCTGTTCAGTTTAATGTTGATGGAAAACCTCTATATGTTGGTGGAAGTTTTCATGATGAGTTTGGCTTTGTTGGATGTATTCGTAGTCTGGTAAAAGTTTTTTTTTTTTTTAATTTTTTATAATAGTTTTTTTTGCTTATAGAAAATTTTTCTTCATAAATTTATCAGTTTAACATTAGTTGATTTATATACAGAGGGTATATAAATCACAGAGGGTATATAAATCAACTGACGGTTTGTAGTTTATTAAAATTTATTAAAAGAAAAGTATTTTAATTTTTTTCTGAGCTTTTTTTTTATATTTTTTTAAAATTTAGAATTAAATATCATAAGAAAATTAAAATTAAATTATACCACGAAAGAATGTGACTTACACAGCCTAGAGGAAGTAGATTCAAAACTAAAAAATATATGGTCATGTCATATCATTATGGAATTGTACCAACCCCTACTTTCAAAAAGTAACACCTGAGAAAGTTTTTAAGTTTTAGGAAAAAATGCATTTTTGTAAAAACACATAAGTCCAGTATTTTTCCTTACATGTGCAATAAATATTTTATTGAATCATGATTTTAAAGGCTTTCAAAATGTTCACAATAGACAGAGATTTTATTTGATGGTATGTAATATGTTCTTGTGTTGATAATAGTTATTGAATTATTGAACAAAATGTAGAAATAAATGTTTTTAGCGAACATTTTAAAATACATTTTCTGATGTCCAACATGTATCAAGAACATACATTCATGAAAATTTCTGTTAAATTTTTGAAAATTAAACAAAAAATCTACTAAATCAGATATTTCCTGTCACCAATAATTTGAGGATAGTTACAATATCACACCAAGCAGGTTTTTAACTGGTTATAAATATCTCTCTTAGCAAAATTTTAACTGGTCTCAACATCTCACCAACTGGCTACAAATAAGATTATAAAGTTATTGGTGTTTAGTAAAGTCAAAAACTATAACAACTTTCAAGAGAAAGTACTCTGATATGTGCATTAAGTTTCTCTAATCAATATTAATAATTTTTCAATTTTTTTCTATTGAAAAAAATTTTGTTTGATAAAAATTTTATTCTTTGAATTTTTGCAAACAACTGTTATTTCTATTTGAAGAAATATTTCAAGAAAAGGTGAAAAGATTCAAAGAAGCTTTACGGAGAAGCTTTAAGAATTTAACTAATAAAATTTGATTTTAAAAGTTATTAAAATTAAAAGCAATGAATTTTTCAAATTTTTTATTTTTTAAGCTTTATGTGGAAAAATTTAGTTTTTTCATATTGCAATTGTGTGAACTTATAATATCCTGAAAATTTTTTCAGTTTTAATTACACTGAGCTACTGCCTTGATAGCATGATTTAATTTTTTCAAGTTTTATTTTGTTTTTATTTTTTCATATTATTTTGTCAAATCGAGAAAAAGTTTTTAAAAAAAAAACAACTTTATATTTATCATATAATCTTAATAATATTTCACTTATTTAGTATGTAAATGGAAGAGTTTCTAATATCCGACAAATTGCTGAAGGACAAGAAGATTTTGGAGTTTACCCTGGTTGTGGTTCAGCATGTGTGTTGCTCAACAGACCTTGCAATTATGGTTACTGTGTTGATCATTACGATTCGTTTTCATGCAATTGTTCAGTATCACCATTCGACGGAAAGTATTGTCAAAATGGTAAATTTGATTAAAGAAGCATTTAGAATGCTTTCTTATGCGACAATGACAGAAGTGACAAAACTTACTTGAACACTTAAAACCATCATACATTATCATAATCCTTTCTAGATTTACAGTACTATGAATTTTTAGATTTGCAGTACTATGAATTCGAATTTTTATTGGGTTTGAAAAAAATTTTCTCAAAGTTTTTTTTTTTTTACAAATTTTTAACACCATGTCTAGATAACACCATGTCTAGCTTATATTACTAACATAGAGCTGAAAAAAAAATCAAGCACAATAAAGACTCGAATTTGAGATTAAAAAAAAAGAGTTTCATGGTACTTAATCATAAAACAAATAATTATCCTTTGACATTGTATTAATTTTTTTTTTTATTGACTCCTAAATGTGGAAAAATGAATAAAACAACAACAAAAAACTCTTTTTTCTTTACTTCATATTAAGTCTGTATAACATCTGCAGAAATCTCTTTTTTTTTTATCTAATTGTGAGAATAAAAAGGTAATTTGTAAAATTTTTTGATTTTTGTGATATTAACTGAGTTAATCAGATTATTAACTAAATGAGTTATTCTTTTGAAAGCAATCACATCCATCATTTTATAATCTGAGGGCCATATTATGCATACATTTCAAAAATTCATAATTTGAGTACAATGCTTTTCGACCAACAAATATAAATCTTTTGATTGATCATTTTATTATATATTGGATTTATTTTAGAAACCTATCCAAGGAGCTTTACTAGCAGCGACCAGTATTATTCATATGATTTTTCAAAAGGAAATAATACTATTGTTGATCGCATTGCTCATGGCATTTTTGTTGTTGGGTTTAAAACTATCGAAGACAATGTTGCCTTAGCTCAGTTGCAGGGAATGAATGACCGCCATATTTCACTTGCATTAACCAATGGCTATTTGACTCTTTTTTACTCTTTAAAAATCAAAGTTAGAAATTCTCTTGGAATGGTAACAGATACGGAAACACAAGTTTTACGTATTACAGACCGTAAATTAAGCAACAACGAACATAATGTGGCAAGAGTTGAATTTTCCAACGAAGAAATATATCTTAGTGTGCCAACTTATGGTTTAAAAGTGGGTGCAAATGCAACAGAGCGTTTCATTGATGTTTTCAATAAGAATTTAGGTACAAAAATTGATTTATTTGGTGTTCCATCCAGTTTTTCTGTTGGTCGAATTACGACCAACGTTGGCTTAGATTTTGGTCCATACACGCCAGTTACTTCGTACACTGGATGTATGAGTGGTGCAAAAATAATTCTCAATCCTTATCCTAATGCCACTATGAAGTTCCGTAAATCTTTTGAATTTGATATTTTCAAACTGGCACAAAATAAACCGTTGACTGACACTGATCAAAATCCATTTGGAGCATCAAGCGTTCCAGCACTACCGGGTTCATGTGGCCCACCTCTCCCATTACCAGGTATTTTACCATGCAAGCTTATTGTTTAAAAAGATCATAACTTTATTTATTATATATTTTAACTTTATTTATTATATAACTTTATTTATTATATGTTTTACTATATTTTTGATGTTAATTGTTTTTTAAATATGAATTAATTCCGTAAACTGTTATTATGTTTACTTTTAAGTAACAATAGAAACATATTTATTAAAATATATTTATAATGTAATAAACATTCTATATACTTGTTACAATAATTTGCTAGGTGTTTTGCCCACTGTTGGTCCAGCAAGACAATTTTTTACTTTATCTCCTGGCTTGGACGATTCAGTTGTCCTTACGAAGGTCAACCCTATTGATCGAATAATATTGCTTGTCGCAATAGTTCTAGCAGTATTGTTTATTGTTATTATTGGTTTGATTTTCTGGTGTGCGGATAGAAACGCTAGAGAATATTATCGTCTAAGAAACGAATCAAATACTAAATCGTCAAAAATAACAAGTTATCCTAAAGATGAAGCTTTTAACTCAAAGCCATATGTTGTTTCATCGTCCAAACAAAAACCTCAACAAGAGGACGACTTTTTATAAGTTTGTATGTTCTAATGTATTTTATTCTATTTATTCAAAGCTTGAGTTTTATAGGTTATAAATTAACCTAATTAAAATGTTTCTATAAAAAGTAACATTCAAAGTCGAAAAGACGCTTAGAAATTTTACTTTGACGATATATTTAAATGATTTTCACAGAATTCTGCAGTATATTTTATTTATCAGAGTTCGAGTTGAAGTTGTTGGATCGAATTCTTTCTGAATAATAATTATCTTTATTTTTATTATTAATATCTTGATATTTTTGTAATTTTTGCATTTTTAACTTGTTAATTTTTTTTTACTTTTTCTCTAAAAACTGTGTAAATTTATGCTATTTGTATATCAAAATAAATTTCCAAATAACTTTTTATTGCTCTTGTATTTTATGATATTGGATAACTCTCTTTTTCTTTATTATTTTTATTACTACATCTTATTATTATTTTAATTCATAATATTTTTTTACTTGACTTGAATAAGACTTTCTTGTACAGACTTTTTTCACGGTTAAAATTATTTCTTATGTTTACTTTCGTAAACAAACTTCAAACAAATAGGCCTTTTCGCAGTTGCGAAATGCATCTTGGGTAATTAGGGCAAACAAACAACAAAGTTAGTTCGATTTAGTGAAGGAAAGCTGAAGAGTTTCTGCTTATTTTCAATGTTTTGCCACTTAGATTTAGCACTTATTTTTCAATATTAATATTAGAAAATATTCAATGTTTTATAAATTGGTTTTTTGATCGATAAAGATAATAAAAATAAATTTAAACTGCTAAACAACTGTAATGTAATGCTACGTATTGCTGCTCTGTTGTTGGTTGTAATAATGACTTCATTAAAGTCTTCAAGTGTCCAGATAATTTACTTAATAGAAGTCAATATACAGTGCCAAATTTTACTGTTTTCCTGATGATTTGGCCAAAAGCAATCTAAATCATGTTGTAAAAGATTTATTAAACTACATGGTTTCTAAAGAGTACGTTCCTCTAATTATTTCGGATTTGGAAAACCTATTTTGCTTTGTTTAATTCAATTATACATGAAAGTATCGTTATGCAAATTAAGAATCTTCTACAAAAAGAAGAAAGACTTAAATGAATTATTGCTATATTGTCATTAGATTGAGATAAACTTGATAACAACTTTCATAAAAACGTAGGAATTAAAGACTGATAATTTTTTTATAAAGTAAAATAGACTAGACATGATAATAGTTTTTGCTAAATTACTTAGAGATTTTCTGATTTTCGGTTTTTTGCAGGTTTTTAGCATATTCAAAGGCCTTGGAAATGTTGCTTTCTTATGTTCAGAGGAATAAAAATATAATGCACTACTGGAAAGGTAGAAGTCCATCTAAAGACTAATTTCGCTACAGGATTTAAAAACAATAAAATTAAAATCTTTAGTATGACATCAGACATTTTTGTTTGTGATAATACATTTATATTTAGCACTTTGAACTGTAGATTCTGCTCATCATTTTGTGGTGTCTATTTTTGTAGTAATTTTTATTTATTCAAGACATGGATAAGTTAAAATGGATTATTTATAATTGATACATTGAGAAATTAAATTAAATTTACCAGCCACGATTATAAAATTTTACCTAAATGCTCTGTAATTGTTGATTCTTCTGAGATTTTTATTGAAAAACCATCTATCTTGTAAATAGATGTAACTGCTTGCTCAAAATACTGTTAAATATTTGGTCTAATTAACATTCAATATGGTGTAATTTCTTAAATGTTTCATTGTTATGGCAGAATCTCAAGTTACATTTGCATTTTCAAAGGTTATGGACTATTAAAACGCTAAAAACCTGAGGATAAAGATTTACAATTTTTTTCCTCTATATAACTTGCCCATTAAAGCACACAAATTCTATTTTTGTCCTGCTAATTGTTTGGGTAATGTTTGTTGTTATTTGTATTGTAGTTGCTTATTATATTTGTTACTATTTATCGAGTGATTTTTTTTTTTTTTTTACTATATTCTTTTTTTCATCTTTCAAATTGCATGCGTTATTCATTTATACTCGAATCATATAATCCATTTTCAATTATACTATTTTTCTTTAAATCGATTCATTTATTTTATTTATTCATTTTATTTGTTCGTTTTTTGTTTTATTTGTTTATTTTATTAAGGTGTCACTCCATTGACAAGTTTGTAACTATACAAGTGACACCGATGCTAATTTTATAAAATTATAAATGCTTTTAATTTTTTCAACTTCATGGTTAAATAAATGGATAAAAAAAAAAAAATTTCAGATGATATCTAATGATATAACCTATATATATATATATATATATATATATATATATATATATATATATATATATATATATATATATATATATATATATATATATATATATATATATATGAATAAATAAATATTCCGCTTTTAGCCTCATCAAATTGAAGGAGGTTTAATATTTAGATGATCATAAAAACCGAACACTAAACGATTTGATCCTGAAATTTAAAATCAATAGATAAATACATAACTAGTTTATAATTATAAAAAAATGAATAACTCGACTCATTACTCTCATGATTGGGGTAGGAGGGAGACTAAGATTTAAGGTTTTGTTATTCCCAGTCTCCTTTTACTGTAATTCTTTTTTGAAGAATCTATATTCGTCTTCCATGTGAACATAGCCAAGTTTTGAATTTTCTTTGTGTTTATAAGTTGTTTATTTCAAACATTAAAAAACCTGCATACTTTACTGCATACAAGTAAGTGGTACTGTATTATTTTAAAAGACAAAATATTTTAGAAATGTCAAAAGGAGAGCAGCAGTTTTAAAAACAGCTTGTTTTTCGATTTCCGGCAATAGCTGTTACAGCTTTAATGGCATATGAGCAGTAAATTAAAGTTGTACCGAGTACTGAAAGTGTTTGCGATTAAATAGTGACTACACAAAACTACTAAAATCGTTTAAAATAGATTTCGAGACGTTGAAATTAAATGATTTTACAGACGATATGCGACAATAGCCTGTTACAAATATTTGATTTTATAATCGAAAGCAAAACATTTGAAACTGAGTACATTAGTCAGTACAAACTTTTCATACTTTGGAAGAGGTTTTGTTGGCAAATTGTTTAGCAAAAAAAAATGAACGATTATATTATGATACGTTCATCAGTCTCTCCTTCTCAACGTATACAAGAAAAATCCCATCAACTTTGGATTTTGTTTAATGTGGATGGCACCATTTGCACAGCGTTTTGCACGTATACCGCAGAACAAAGTAATTGTTGCAATCATGTTGCTGCGGAATTTTATAAAATAGAATATGCGAACACTAAAGGCATAACGAACCCTATTTGTACTGATAATATTTGCAGCTGGAACGCTCCGTCCAAAGAAATTTAACCAAGTATGGTGAAAGATATAAACATTGTGAAACATAAAAGTGGTAAATTGCAGAAAAAATTTTTGATTCACAAAGAAAAAAATGATTTTGATCCAAGACCAGAAGAAATGCGTAAAAGTGAAAAAAAACAATTTTTATTAAATAGTCGCTCTAAATAAAATGTTTACCCCTCCGCCAGATAATGATGTGCCACTTCCAACAACAGAAATTGCTTCCGCTGCACGTAGTTGTTCTCCAACGGAGCTAAGCTGCATGACTGATAGAATTCATGGTGTGCTGACATATAACGACAATCAACTTCAAAAATTAAAAAAGCTACAAGAAATCAATCACACTCAAGCCAATCGTGGAAACAACACAAGGAAGAATAACATCGTCATGTTTCTATTCCATTAACCAAAAGGTTACATCTCTTTTAAGAAACCATGATAAAGACGTTAATTGTGCCACTTCTTAAGGCTATTATTGATCCTATTGAATTAAAGAAAGCGAAAAAAATGCTGCTAAAATATTAATGTCAACTGAGGGCGTAAAACACAAAATCTTAAGCTAATAACGTGTGGTTTATTCGTGCACAAACCGCACCCGTTTCTCGGTGCTTCTCCTGATAACATTTTTCAATGCTGTTGTTGCCTAAAATCTTGTGTAGAATACAAATGCCCTTTTATTATTTGGGACAAAGATATGAATTTTATGGAAAAAACCGGATTTTTTGGAAATGGTTGACGGCAAAGTAGTGCTCAAAAGAAATCACAAGTATTACACCCAAATAATCGGCCGAATGGTCATCACTAGTTATAAATCCACGTATTTCGTAGTCTATACAAAGAAAGGTGTTTTATTAAACAAAATCACGTTGAATAAAGAACATTGAGTGCAAAGAGTGCTTCCAAGCTTAATTCTGTTTTTTAAAACATATGTGCAACTTTACCTACTTGGATTTATATAACTGTATACATGCCCATTGCGCGATAAGCCATGCTTAAATGAAAATGAATTTGAAAATAAAGAAGATAACAGCATGGATTGTGACATTTGTGGTATCTGGTTTCATTGAGATTGTTGTGGACTAGTTCAAAAAACTGTTTTAAAAGATAGATTTATTTGCATTTTTTTCCTAATAACTGATAAATGCTTACAGCATTGATTTATAGACATATTATTACAGATATTAAATGTACTAAATTTAGCATTAAATTCAGTAAACAATCTTTTTACATCTGTTTTAGCTCATAAAATTAATTAAGTAGCGACAAACTACTGACTCAAAAGATATTAAAAGGTTTATATTGATGTGTATTTACTGCTAAATTATTTAAATTTATTATAAAGAACAAGAAAAAAAAAAAAAATAAAGTCTACATTTAGTTATATATATATTACATATATATATACAGGGCCGGCGCGAGTAGGTGTCCAATTTGCCGACTAAGGGTCCAGTTTGCCGACTAAAAATCATTGATGGGGGGTGTGACACCCCTATCGCGCCGGCCTTGTATATATATATATATATATATATATATATATATATATATATATATATATATATATATATATATATATATATATATATATATATATATATATATATATATATAATAAAATTATAATAATAAAACAAAACTCATAGTCGAAAAAGAGTGCTCAATATTAAAAAGATATTTCAAATAGAGCGATATACATATTTACATTAACGAAGGAAAAACAACTTTTTATATGGTATATCATATATACAAGGTCTATCATATATACAAGGTCTTATATCATACTAGCAAAAAGCAACCCGTAATACGGGTTTTGGTCGGTCTGTTACATAATTAATTTATATAGGCTGTTTTCCACAATTTAATGTTGCAAAACCTTAACTAATACCCTTTTAGAAAATCGCCTTCAGCTTGAAAAAATTAATCCATCTGTAAAATTAACATAAAAAGTATGAGGAGGTAAAATAATTTTCCAACTACTACTTAACATTATT